TCCTAACCCTAAACGTAACGCTAATCCTAACGCTAATCCTAACCCTAAACGTAACGCTAACCCTAACCTTAACCCTAAACCTAACCCTAAACCTAACCCTTACCTTAAATTGCCGTTAAATCGCCCTTCTGTCGACGTGCTTACCTTAACTTAAATCACCCTTAAATCGCCCTTCTGTCGACGCACTGTTGTCAGTGCGCTGTTAACCCTTACCTTAAATTGCCCTTAAATCGCCCTTCTGTCGACGTGCTTACCTTAACTTAAATCACCCTTAAATCGCCCTTCTGTCGACGCACTGTTGTCAGTGCGCTGTTAACCCTTACCTTAAATTGCCCTTAAATCGCCCTTCTGTCGACGTGCTTACCTTAACTTAAATCACCCTTAAATCGCCCTTCTGTCGACGCACTGTTGTCAGTGCGCTGTTAACCCTTACCTTAAATTGCCCTTAAATCGCCCTTCTGTCGACGTGCTTACCTTAACTTAAATCACCCTTAAATCGCCCTTCTGTCGACGCGCTGTTGTCGGCGCGCTGTTGTCGGTGCGTTGATGACGTCGCGGTTTTAGCGACGTGCTTTTGTCAGCGCGCTTTTGTCGCGCGCGCTTTTGATGGGTCACGGTGGCTTACTGAGTGTTCTTCTCTTCCCTGCTACTTTCTCAAATATAGCCACGTTCCCTTGTTTTATTAGATAGGGAGATAAGTAAAGCAAGATGTTCAGGAGAGATAATCTGCTCAATGGAAAAGGGTTTACAGTTTCTCTGGAAGACTTGAAAGCGGTTGAGATGGTTCTCTGCCATGAAGAAGAAGCAATGGGGGGGAAAGCAATGCCTGGTCAAGGACAGACGTCTGATATGGCCATCACTGGACAGTTAATAAAACAACTTTAAAAAAAAAAACCCTAAAGCCAGAATGGGACTAACATGCTATAGGAGTATCTAAAGACTTGGCAGATATGTCATAGCAAAATGAATAAATAATTTCAGGAAATGCAAATAGCAGATAATGCTCTGAAAGCCAGCAATGTTTATGATATGCTACAAATTAATACTCTTGAGACAGACAAGGCTCCAAAGAATATTTCTGAAATAAAGATTGAGTCGGCTGATTTACAGGATCGTGGCAGGAGAAATAATTTGAGGATTAGAGGAATGGCGGAGAAAAGCAGAACAAACAAATTTGACTACTTATCTCTAAAATTAACTACCAGAACTTAATGGATAAAAATAATGAATGTCCTCATCCGGTTTGCTCTCCTAGGAACACACAGAAGGAAACCTAGAGACATTTTTTTTTTTAAGATTTGTGAACCCAAATATAAAAGATAAAATTATGAGAAAAATAAATGGTCTGGAGAACGTTTCCCCCCCAAGATATCAGTGTAGCTGCATTGCAGCAAGGAAAGGAATTTAGTTTTAGAGAAAAACTTGTGATGCAGAATATGGATAACTACAAATGGGATTCTTCTAATTGTTTTTATATTACAAGGACATGGAAGTTATTTCAATTTGAACTGAGATGCAGAGCTTATCGACAAAGCTTTCCAAGAAGAGAGGAAGAAAGTCATCTACGGTTTGCCTTGGAACTGTGGAAAGCAGGTTGAACTGCAGGTGGAAAATAAGAACACTACACTGAGTTATGGAGCAACAGAATTTATATATTCTTTTCCTTTTTTAAAATGTTCAGGTTTAGAGTAAAGGGAAAAAGGAGAGAGTAAAATACAGAAGGGAAAACAACTATGTCAAATACTAACATAGGTAAAACTTTAGTTAAGGAATTATTGTAATTAAAATTGGGAACTTATAGGCTGATGAAGGGAAGAAGGAATATCAGTAAGACACACACACACACTCCCCTTAGACTGTGTAGAGCAAACCCCGGGCCACACCCCATTCCCGGGTCTTGAGCTGTTCGAAACCATGCCACAGAAATGGCGGTCGGCCGAGTGCATTCCCACTTGTGTGAGAAGCAGAAGTGTGTGTGCCCCCCCTTTGTGCAAGTGGCAAATGTGTGTGCAATAGGGCTCCTGCCTGCCGTTCATGCAGAACCAGAGGTGGGTTCCTACCAGTTTGCGCCAATTCGGTAGAACCGGTTCGTCAAATCTACCGAAGCGGTTAGAAGAGGTTCCAGCAGTGGACCCGGAAAGCAGGCCACACCTACAGAAGAGGTTCCAAACTTTTTTGAAACCCACCACTGCTACACACACACACACACACACACACACACACACAGACAGACTGACACAGAGAGAGAGAGAAGGAGAAAGAAAGGAAGAAAGAAAGAAAGAGTGAGAGAGAGATGAAAAAAAGAAAAAAGGGACAGAGAGACAAAAGGAAAGAGAGAGAGAGAGAGAGACTGACACAGAGAGAGAGAGAAGGAGAAAGAAAGGAAGAAAGAAAGAAAGAGTGAGAGAGAGATGAAAAAAAGAAAAAAGGGACAGAGAGACAAAAGGAAAGAGAGAGAGAGAGAGAAAAAAAAAACACAGGGCGGGCAAGCCACTCCCACCAGGTCACATGGCCGGCAAGCCACTCCCACAAAGGAGGCCACACCCTCAGAGTAGGTTCCAAAATTTTTTGAAACCCACCACTGTGCAGAACCATCCTCTCTTACCCCCGCTGGGCTGGAAAGCCAGAAAGATTGGGGAATTCTGGTATAGAGGATTCTTTAAGGAAAACGGTAGATAATATATTAACTGAGTTGTGAAGTTAGTAAAGCCTCTTTAATTGCCACATTAGAAAAAAAAAAGAAAAAATCACAATTAAAGTAATGAGATTTCAGACGCAGGAACCACAATTTTTATCAAACTTGGTTGACTTTTATAATTTACCCGAATAGCAATGAATTATAATCTGGTGTACTGCTTGTTTATGACAAATTTTCACGTGTATGGTACCTGATATTTTATTTACACAGTAGTAGTTGTTTTTTTTTGTATTTTCTATATATTTTTTGTATATGTGTATCTTGGAATTATGTTTAATGCAGATACCTGATATTGCAAAAGAAAAAAAAAATAAACTACTTTTCCTTAAAACAATATTTACCTCTTCAAGAAGCTAAAGGTTACATTTTTAATTGTCTTGTCTCTTTTTCATGTTTAGATGTTTGTTTTGCTCTGGAAAGGAAAAACTAAGCTAGGTAAAAGAAATGAAGAATAAACAGCAGTTCCAGCGTAAAGGAGGTTTGTTTCTTCTAAGCTACCAGCAAATGGGTAGGTTAATAAGAGAAAGAACACAGGGAGACAGAACTGATTTAAGCCAGCGAATGGTGAAAGGGAGAAGAATCATGATCTTTCTACAAACCCTTTGCATATGTTACTGGCTGTTGCTTTTATATGTCAGTCTGGTGGCTTAGAAACAGATAGATGGCTTAACGCTGAACATCAATCTAGGAATAGCTCAAAGGGACCAGATAAGCACATGCGTTTTATAGCGTGACCCGACAAATGCGCGCCCAACAACAGCGTGCCGACAAAACCGCGGCGTCGACAGCGCGCCCACAAAGGCACGCTGACAAAAGAGCGCCAACAGAAGCGCGATTAGGGTTAAGGTAAGGGTTAGGGTAAGGGTTAAGGTAAGGGTTAGGTTTAGGGTTAGGGTTTAGAGCAATAGCAATAGCAGTTAGACTTATATACCGCTTCATAGGGCTTTCAGCCCTCTCTAAGCGGTTTACAGAGTCAGCATATCGCCCCCAACAAT